TAGATGATGAGAAAAGCTTTTTATTGCCGCATTTTGTCCTTGCAATGCTTGATAAGTTCTGTTAGGCAAAGAACTCCTAAGAGTTTCATGATTTCTTCAACTGATACCAGCTGCCAATCCACAGATTGCTAGCCAATCCTCTGATTGCTAGCCAATCCACAGATTCTCTTTATGTCAACAATGTTCCATCCAATATATTGTCAAAGAAACATTAGGAGCAAATGATGCAAGAATTTCTTTGGCAATTTTCACTTGATGCTGGCACCTGATGAATTCCTAGTTCCTGACAACTGCAGGTGGATCATGGCCCAATGATTGAAGCTGAAATTGACACTGACAGTCTCACAACAAAGTCAAAAAGATGACTATTTGACTTTGTTCCTTCATCTTTTTCACTGTTACTTTCAGTAGCTTTAAGTAGCTCACCCAGGTTAATTGATTCAACATTTATTTTCAGTTACTCACAATGGTTCTTTCCTTTTTCTTTTAAGTTTTTTTTGCTCAAGTTATTGTAGAAGGCACTCTTCTCATCTTGCAATTTATACATCAACTGCCCGCAAGTTACCTCTTCTTTTCTCCTATTGCGGTTCTCTGTCTTCTTTATTCTCTGTCTTTGTTAATTTTGATGAGGGGCAGTGAATGAGTAATATTGGTCATCAAGTGTATCAACAAATTTTTTGTTATTGTTGTGTTGTTATATTATATTACAATAGTTTATATTGAAATATGTTTAATCATGTTAAAAAGTATCTAGAATTGAATCCCCTGGTATTACAAAAACAATGATATGTGAATTAGTTTTTTGTATATCTTTTTAGGGCGATAATGAAAATGCTAAATACTTTTGGAAAGTATGCATTAGTCAGCATAAATTTTTTCGCATATCTGGTAACTTTTTGGCCAGGACAGCTTTCCGGTATTTATTTGTTATATTTTAACAGTTTTTTTGTTTTTTAAATTTTTAAATTTAAAGTATGTATCATCATTATTATCAATCCAACAAAAATCCACTTTGGCATCAGCACCCTTTTGTTTTGAACTTATTAATGTAAATGTTTGCTGATTCTCATCATCATAATAAAAATAATTAATAAAAAAAAACATTTATAAATTATAAAGACAAATAATAAACAGTTTACTATTTTATGTGAAAATTTTTTTTTTATCAAATCATTACTTTTTTAGGACTCAAAAAGAAATTTCAACGGATGCTGCGATGTTAATCAAGTTAGCTATTATTTGTTCATTATAATATATTATGCTACAACCATTTCTATGTAAAACCCTTTTTAATTTTCAGTGAAAAATGTAAAGATTAGTTAGTATGTATTCAATGAAGTATTTAACTTCAAATATGACAGTATTTTTTCAATTAACCTTTTTTTTTCAAGTCACTAAGTTTTTTATGCTCTAAAATTTTCTAAATATAGTCTTTGTATTTAAAAATGTATATAATGAAAAATTTAAGATTGATTGTTCTCATTGTTCAAATAAAGAAAAAATAAAAAAATATTAAATATATTGTTTTTTTGATTAAGTGTTCAAGAATCTCCTGGATTTAAAAGACGAGTCACTTTAACAAAAAAGAAACTATCTGTGGTATGAAATATTATTATTGAAACAAGTTTTTTAAATTATTTTGCAGACTCAGTTTTTTTGCTTACTTACAAGTTTTATCAGTTTTCCTGCAATTTTACAGAATTTTTAAATTATTCTGCAAACTCAGATTTTAAGCAGATACACAGGTTTTAAGAATTTATCTGTTTTTAGAAGTCATCAAGTCCTAATAAAAGCCCATCAAGTTCAGCTTCTGGTTCAGGTAAATATTTTTTGTTTTTTTAATTTTGTTGTCACAAAAATTTAATTTATTTTTTGTATGTTTTAATAAAAATACTTTTAATAATATTTTTTTATTAATTTTACATTTTAATAATAACTGTTTTATTGTAATTTTACTTGTAATAATTATTTTGATAAATAGTAATGATAAAAAAATAGAACAAATGTAACATGAACACTGTCATTAAAGCATGTTGACTTGTTTACAATGTGTAATATTAAATGTTGTTAATTATTATTAAATATTACATGTTTAACTAAATAATATATTTTTAGTTTTTTTTGTGCATTTTTATTTTTGTACATTTTTATACTCTCTGGCAAAATATTATTTAATTTTTTTCTAAATAAGTTTTTTTGAAATTAAAATAAATTATAATACTGTAAAAGTGGCTAACTTTGTACAAGTTTAACTTTTCAAATGTTCTACTTTTATTTTAAATTTGTTAAAAATGGCTTTAAATTTTCTACTTAGAAATCATTTATTTATCTAAGATTTGTTTTAGTTGTTAAATTCTTTTGGTGAAAAGTAAACTTAATTGATCTTACTCTTTGAAGGAATAATAATTCTAAGGAGAGTAATTAATAATGATGTACTGATTAATCGACATTAGGTTCATCCAATTTTAACAGAATCAGCTCTAGCATAGGCTTTTTATTT